AAAATCATTGAGGTTCAAGTATAGGGATGATGGAGGCCTTCTGGCTTGCAGAGCTACATTCTGTGCTCTCTTTATCTCTTTTCACTGTTAACTTCTCAAGCCCTGATTTTTACATTTATCTTACTGTGTTTTCTGGTAAGTTGCTTCAAACCTTTGTAAAAATAAAGGTTTGTAAAACAAACAAAGACAGATGAATCGCTAGGAGAGTGAAAGCTGAGGGAAATAATATACGTATTATTCCTGCACATGTCAAAGCAATGTGTAACAAAGTGGATATGATGAGATTGCTGGCTAGACTTCTGTGAAGAAAGTAATAAACATGAGTTCTCAAGACTATAGTGGAGGTTGCGGGGGAGGCAGTCAGAAAACTACACAGGTGTTTGCAAATCCACAATCTGGTGTGTGCAGATCATCTGACCAAGGTAGGTTAAAGAAGATGACATTATTAAGAAAACGTATCCTACACCCTGATTATTTACAACAAAACAAAACAAAACAAGATGACACTTTCTTGTTACACATCCCAATATTTTCAGAGCAGGAGTGACGAAAGAAGTCAACTCTTTGGACATCTGCTCCAAGTCTCTGGCAAGGACAGAGCTACCAAAGACTTCATTTGTCTGCCCGACAATTTCATCTGTCAGGAGGCAGAGGAACTAGTGAGGAAATGGCTGCTTTGGAGTAAATTCTGATCAGTAAGAAAGGAACTAACTGGTTGGTAATGTGAAAATGACAAGAACCTCAGGAGAGTGTTTATGCCGTCTGGGCCCCTCACAGCACTCCCAAAGCTCTTTATTTAGATCACACTTTTGTTACTTCTCCTTGAACTATTGTCATTTATACACCGTCTCCTCACAAGAATGTTCCTTGAGGACTGGGACCACATCATGTCCTCTTTGTGTCTTCTGATGTCTGGTGCAGTATCTTTTAAATGGAAAAAAAAATTAATTGAATGTGCTGAACTGGAATATAATGAAAATAGCAACTCGCATAATTTTAGGATGATCTGACAACATTCTTTTAAAACTTTTTTTTCCTGATTATAAAATGTCTTCATTGTAGACAACTAGAAAAATTTGGAAAAGTATAACTGAGAAAATACAAACGTTCCATAATCCTTTCACCCACAGCTAAGCACTTTGAAGTACCTCCTCATCTTTTTTTTTTTTTTTTAAGATGTTGGGGGTAGGAGTTTATTAATTAATTTATTTTTGCTGTGTTGCGTCTTCGTTTCTGTGCGAGGGCTTTCTCTAGTAGTGGCAAGCAGGGGCCACTCTTCATCGCGGTGTGCGGGCCTCTCACTATCGCGGCCTTTGCTGTTGCGGAGCACAGGCTCCAGACGCGGGCTCAGTAGTTGTGGCTCATGGGCCTAGCTGCTCTGCAGCATGTGGGATCCTCCCAGACCAGGGCTCGAACCCGTATCCCCTGCATTAGCAGGCAGATTTTCAACCACTGCGCCACCAGGGAAGTCCCATCTTTTATACTTAAATATTGCTTCATAATTATAAGCATACTATATCTACAGTTCTGTGCCTGAGAGTTTTGTTCACCTTATATCTTGAGTATTTTTCATGCTGTGAAAATGTCTTCATTTAAAAATGGCTACGTAATATTCCATTGCATGTCTATTATAATTCATCATTGTGACAAAAAAAAGAAAAAAGAAAGAAAGGAATAGGGATTTTAATTGGCTACAAGCTTTAAGAACTGGGACGTCAATAAGGAGACCATTTCACCTCCAGCAGACAGATGGGGCTGAGCCGGGGAGACAGGTGAAGGCCCAGGCTATTCCTGCGGTTCTGGGTTTTATCTTGAGTCACCTGTGGTGCATCTGGAGGGTGACCTGATGGTGAGCCAGAGCTGATGAGTAACAGTTAAAGCTACAAGGAATGTTCAACCCAGAGAAGATTTGTGGAGCCAGGAGTTTTCCACATTTGAGAAATGACTGACTTGTCTCATTTTTAAAAAAGTTTTTTGAATAAATGGCTGTACATTAAAATAGAATTTTTGGCTATACAGCTCTATGAATTTTAGCTCAAATATAGATTTGTGTAACTACCATCATCAGGATATAGAACAGTTTCATCATTCTCCCCAAACTCCCCTGTGCTATCCCCTTTATGGTCACATCCTCCTGTCCCCTTTAACTCCTGGCAATCACTGATGTGTCGTCTGTCACTATGCTTTTGTCTTTTCAGGAATGGGAATGACGGACTTATTCTGTGGCATCTCAGTTGGCAGAACTAAGGCTGACAAGTAGAAATGACAAAGATGCAAATTTGACTCCATAAGCAAGTTTGAGAGCAGTTCCAAAAAAGATACAGGATGCCAGGAGAGGTGGGAAGTGCCCAGTCACTGGAGGTATTCAAGGAGAGGAAGTGGTTTCTGGGATACTAGAGGGTAGGAGATACCTGTAGTCTCGTTTATGATCCATATTTTGTGTCAATGAGCAGTGGAATATTCTAGATCAGATCTCAGTCTCTCTCACACACACACACACACAAAAGGAATAATAGCATTAAAGTTTGTATTTAATCCAAAGCCACCTTTTTTGAATTCTGAGCAGCCCAGAGACCTGCCAGCACTTTCTTGTGCCTGCAGTCATGAAGTCTGGCAAGGCTTTTGACTTCCTTCCCTGTCCCCAAGCCCTTCCTTGAGCCTTAAAAGTCACATATAAGTTACTCCCCGTCTGAGCAACAATGCTGTCAGGAGGGAGCTACAGCATCGGGCAACGTTCTTACTACTAACCCGCAGTTCGAGTACCCTGTTACCCCAGAGGTGTGTGCCTGGGGATCCTCGATTTCCACCAGGAGCACCCCCTGCGAGGCCCGGGTCGCCTGCCTTCAGGCTCACAGCTGCAGGTGAAGAGCCACAAAATCCTCCCTCTAGTGGCTCAAGTGAGAACATTCCCGGGCCCTGAAAAGACCCAGAGCGTCAAGACAGGACGTCCAAAGACAGGAGACACTCCTCCGGAGCCATTCCACAGGGCTGAAATTCCATCGCCTGGCCAAGGTCATCCACAGGAAGGGTGGGCGCACGGCACCGCCTCCCCAGCCGTACCAAGGACGCTGCGCTGGGCCCCGGGAGCGTTGCCCCGCAGCCCTGCTCCCCAGCGCCACCTGCCGGGGCTGCCTGCGGCCACCCCTCCCCCGCTCCCCGCCACTACCGAGGGGTGCTTATTTCATCACATTGCTATTGCAGGGGAAGAAGCTGCCCGGTTTTTCTTTAACCCTGGGCTGAATTTTCCTAACTACTTGCCATCTTCTGAAGATTTTCAAGCAAGGGCGGGGGGGGGGCTGGGGGTGGTGGAGGAAGGTGGTGGTGACAGGTCTGTGACCTTTCTCCCAAGGCAGCTGCATCTTTTCCTCCGGCTACTCTGGTGGAATGAGACGATCGTTGTCAGATCTGAACATTTTTGAGCCCCTCCTCAGGCTGGGAGGCACTACCTTTCTCTTAGTGAATTTTTAACCAGCATCTGTGAAATTTGAGAGGAGGCGGAATTCATGCTCCAGCGGATGTACCTCCCGCCACTGCTCTTGAAGGGCATGGGTGGTGGGGAGAAAACGGGGCTCCTGTCCAACCCCTGCTCTCCCTCATCCCAGCCCATACAGAGAGAAATATGCACGCCCGGTTGTCGCTGCCAGCTTCCTCCCTCTTTTCCAGGCAAGAATTCCTCCCCGATCCTTGGACCCAGGCCATCTCAGACAAAGAGGGAGTCCTGGCCCCTGACGATGACCCGAGGAACCACAACATTTTAGCAAGGTGGGGTTGATCCCCAAAGGTGCCACAGGTCCTCTTTCTGTGTGTGAGCGACAGCTCTTTTTTATCCATCAGCATTCTGGCTTGCTTAGCCCTGTTGCACAGACAGAAAAGGTGCTCTGAAAAAGTGTTTTATCAGTTTCTGTGTGAACGACAGCCCCCGGATGTCCCAGGACTCCAATGACATAAGCCGTCTTAAAATAAGAGAACAAAAATAAGGTTTAACAAAACCTAAGGTGCCCAGCAGTATTTCTTTCCTGTCTCTGGTCAGTGGTCCTATGAAGGAGCATGGGGACAGTGTGAGGCTGGGACAGAACATGAGGCCACGTAGCTTACATTCTTGGCAGCCTGCGTGTGTCTCAGTGAGGCTACACTCTGCTCCTGCCCCGACATCTTTTTCTCTGAAGCACTGGTTACCATTAGAGGACCGGGTTCCCTTTTCTCATAGAGCCAGTGAGTACTGGGGCTTTCTCGGCTCTGGCAAGGTAAATGCTCTAAACCCCATGTGTCTAATTCACAGATCCCATCGTCCACACTGCGGCGGAGGCATACAGAAATGGAGGCTATGGATGTCCTTCTCGCCCACTCCTTTCATCAGGACAGAGCCACTGGGTAGCAGAAAAAGAAACCTTTACAACTACACTGAAACATTTCATTTACCTTGGGTAAGAGTCAATTTCTTGTACTAAGAGCCTCCCATAAAGCATGTCAGTATGGGAAAGAGAGCTGTTGTCTCTGCCCCCTGAATGCTGCACCAGAGCCTCCTACTGGGAACAGCCAAACAAGGTCACTAAAGGAGGCCCGACGCATCAAGGCAGGGATAAGATCACCTTGAAATCCTTACCCGTGAGCTTGTTTACCAGAGATGGGGACACTGTTTTCATTCTGTCCTCCTTGCTGGGCAATGACAGTGCCACAGTCCAAAGGTAGCAGTAAGGAAGGAGGAAGGAGAGGGGCCTGGCTCTTTGGTGTTTAAGAACAGACCAAAGGTGGACTTTGCTGAGAGGAAACATGGTGAGCTAATGCTCGTCCCTGTACATGAACTGAAATAACCAAAAACAACAGGGTGGGAAGGTTTTTTCCAGTTCTTTTAAAGGAAATGTATTTCGAGTACATATTGAATCTGAAAATAATTTTCAACTCAGTTTCAAACCAATCCACTGAGCTGAAAGAAGAGATCAGAAATGAAATGAAATTCTGATATACATTGAATCTAATCTAAAAAAAATTGACAGGGAAAATAAAATTTCAGATGTTTTTTATTCAAAGGTTCTCAAAAGAAATAAAACAGAAAAAGCTAACAATCTGATCAAATGTACAGTTCAAAAATGTCTTTTTGGCGTTTAACAACAAGTCCTAGGAAAGAAAACTACAGAGTTATCTTGAACCGGACAAATAAGTTACCACTGGCAAGTTTGTGGCACTAGTAAAACAAAAATAAAAAATTAACTCTCTTGATCATATAGATATCTCTATGAAAATCTTTTTTTTTCAATCTGTACAAAAGGTCTTTCTTCATAAATTAATTTTTTTTATAATTTAATGGCTGTCTACTATGTGATGTTTAACTGGTTTTTTTTCTTTTTTTATGTACAGAGGTTATGTTTCCCAAATCTTACCCAGACGAGTATGGCACTTAGTTCAGACACTTCTAGCAGCAGATTTCCCCTCCCCTCTGAGTTATCAAATTTCTGTCTTAACTAATGCAAAAATATCAAGTAGTGAGAGACCCAGGTTTACAATGTACTAGGTACAAAGAGGGTGCTGCGTTCAGTCTGGACTTTCACAAAGCAGTAATATTCCAGGGAGCATAGAACCAATAATACCACAACTTTAAAAAAGGAAACAAAAACAAAAACAAAAACACACTTCTCTTATGACTATGTAATTTCACTAGAATCTACACTTCTCAGAGCAGCAAGGACTTTTGAAACTATGAAATATCACTGACATCTATAATCAAACACAAGCATAAATTTTAAGAACTAAAAAATACTCGAAAGAAATAACTGCTTAGGCCTAGCTCCTGAGCTAGGAAGGATTTGGTCTGTGGAAACAGGGAGGGCCAGCAACCTGTCCCAGCACAAAAGAAAATAGACTCTGAGGTAGATAACTGATCACACACAGTTGACCAGACAAGTACACAGTTTTGGAAGACAACTTAATTTACCATTGCTTTTCAAACGTATGCAATTGTCTTAATAAAAGAGCTTTAATAACAGTGAATTATCTTATATGTACTAAAGTAGAAATAACTGTGTATTTATGAATCAGGAATTTCATAGTTTCAAAATTGGTTTTTCTTTACACTTAACACTTGTAGTGATGATGTAAAGTGTGGCACTGCTTGGATCCAAATCTTCCTTCATGCTTTTTTGTTTGTTTGTGTGTGTCCATACGTCAATTAAAATTATAAAACCTAAATCCAAAGGTACAAAAAAGGCACATTCTCCTAACCGCAAACTGGTCCGGCAAAAATAAAGAGCACAGAAGATGTGATGCTGAGACAAGCTGGAGCTACTGGTTACTGGCTCTTCGGTCTTTGGTGAAGTTACCTTTAAAAGTGCCAAGTAATTTTTGTTTCTCAAATTTACGTGATAGAGAGAGCTAGTAGCCAATTGTTTCGCTTCTATTCATATCTCAGCTTATGTTTGAAGATAAATCCTTACTTTTAACTTTTGCTATTTCGTTGCAATAGCAACATCTGTGGTTTTTTTCGGTTTGCCAGATCTCAGGCGTCATTCTCATTCTAAAGCACTATCGTTAGTATAAAGGAAGGACAAAACATTCGGTGACTCCCTCCCCTCCCCCCACCCCCTGCCCCTACGCTACCTACACTAAATCTAGAACATCAAGTTAGTTTTTTTTTTTTTCCTGAAAAAAGGCAAAAAAGACTTTACATTGCATCATACAGCAGATATCCTAAATCAGTCAAACTATCAGAGGAAACTCTTGGCGTACAGCCTTACAAACAATTTACCCTATTAAAAGTTCCCCAGTCAGAAAATGTGTTTCACACAAAACAGTTTTCCCTTCTTGCATTTCACTACCTTACACATTATGTGAAAAATCATTAAAAACACCTACTACATATTTAAAAAAGCCAAAATTTCAGCAACTTTTATTGACTACCTTTTAAAAGCCCTATGCTGCTGTTTAACAAGGCATAATAGACCAGCCCATTTGGTCAAAGCATTCTACATCATTAGTTTGAACTAACTTTTACTGAAACAGCTACAGCATCAAAAGAGTTAAGGCAAATTGGAATTCATAGAAAAGGATAAGACACTTCACACTACGTGGAAAGGAAAACGGAAAGCTAAGAAAAGAGACACTGGCTGCAACACTCACACTGCAAGCACAGAACACCAGGGGTGAAGTTGGACTATTTAAACATCAGAAAGCCCATTTCATACAGCTGAAAAAAACACAAACGAAAACACAAAATGAACAAAACCACAAGAATCCGGTCATGCACTTGGGTAAGTCTTCATGGTCTTTGTGCATACCCAGAGAATTGAAGTTTTCTTTTTCTTTTTTTTTTTTTCCTTTTTTCTTTTTTTTTTTTCTTTTTTTGCATCATAACATTTTATAAAAATTTTTTTTTTTTTTGTTGGTTTTTTTTTCTTTTTCTTTTTTTTTTTTTTTTTACTAAAATAAACCTGTTCAGGGGAACAGCTACTAGATGAATTTAAGGGTTTTATGCACCTTATAGAACTTATAGCAAAAATAGTTTTAGTTGATTTCATTATAAATAACGTTTTCAAGAACCTGTGCAAAACTGTCAATAATTTCCTAAAGCACAATTGATCAGAAAAATCCATGATTGTTCAGCCTTCACAACCTTCTTCATTTAAGCACACCCTTCTGTACATCTGGAAGAGAAAAAAAAAATGCTTTTGTACATTTGGTGTAATATACCAGAGATTTGTCATTTCTTTCTTGTTTTAAAGATACGTGTTTGAGAAAGGCTCTGCTCATCGCTGGTGGTAGGCCAGTAAATGCAAACTCTGGAACTGAGGTCACTTTTTATGCCCCGAGTCCACCTTTCAAATCTGGGACCTGCAACATACTTCACAAGAGCAATCCAGAAACCCAGGTGTTGTAAGTTCCACAGAGCTGTTTTACTGCAATCTGCATGGCAGAGTGACTAGTTTTGAGATCCGTGGTCCAAGTGGGAGCTGGGAGAGCAATCTCTCAATCTAAGGATAGTTGTATTAGATTCATAGTCAAGATACTGCTTGTATCTTGTAATGCTAGATTAAGCAAAATCTTATGCTATATTTCCTTTAGTTTGTGAGCATTAAAACAATATATATATATTACATATTATATATATATATATAAAATATAATATAAAAAAAAATAAATGTATTGTAGGACAAATTTGGTACCTGGCATTGTCTGATTATGTTACCAATCTTTTGGCAGGGGGTGGGTAGGGAGGAAGAGAGTATAAATATACATTTGACTTCAGCATAAGGCACTGTTATTTTTGGACAGAATACTCATCTACAAATCCACAAAATCACTGATTTTTTTTTTTTTTTGGTAGTACGCGGGCCTCTGACTGTTGTGGCCTCTCCCGTTACGGAGCACAGGCCATGCAGGCCCAGCCGCTCTGCGGCATGTGGGATCCTCCTGGACCGGGGCACGAACCCGGGTCCCCTGCATCGGCAGGCGGACTCTCAACCACTGCGCCACCAGGGAAGCCCCAAATCACTGATTTTAACATTCCAGTAACATTGGATTCCCTGGCCATGACTGAAGCAGTGTGGTGTGACCAGACCTGAGTTGTTTAAAGTACCATTTTGATACAAGAATCATAGACTTTTCTTGACTTGAGCCCTATAGTGATGGAGACCTTTCTCTCATACCTCACAGTTACTTATTGGGTTGAAAGGTATATGGAGAATGGTCATTAGACGTCTCTACAGCCACCTGCTGCTGACCACTCGCCTCCTACAACAAAGCAGAACAGATGAGACATGTGAGCAAAGAAATCCAAACTCTGTTACCCAGGTTGGACTGAGTCCCACATCTTAAAAACAAGCACTCCTTAAAAGTGATTTTCTTAACGTCATATAGAGCCTTCAAAGTTAATTATTTCCCTAAGAAGTTAAAATGTCTGATAGACCCAAAGAACCTCCTTTAATTTTTATGAGTTGCCTCTTCATATCAAGCTGCAATTTACCAAACAAATCTCTTCCCCTTTGGGGGCTAGATGTGACTTGGAATTCAGTATTTTCAGATTTTAGAATCTGAAACATGGTATGCATACGCTGTATATCAGAGACTATATACCCAGTGGGGTCTAGGGCTGTACCTCATAATCAAACACATGAATAGGTCTGTGCTGAAAGGTATGAATATGCAGTGTAAATGGGGTAAAGATCTTGTCTTACATCAGTTCAGCTTGGGTTCTGTCACAGGTCAGGTATTTTGCTAAAGTAGTTACAAGGAAAATTTTTCGTTTCAGATTTGTTTGTTCCAGCATTGCAGATAAGGGGTTCTGGTAACTGTGGCTATCATTAACTGCACAAATTTCAATCATTTAGAAGCAAACAAAACACATCCCACCTCCCCTGTAATCCAGCCACAGTCCTGGGGTTGTTTCTGGAATTGGAACCTATGGGATCTGCCTAGCAGGGGGGGATCCACTGGGTTGATGAATTTCCTTGGAATTTCAAGGGTACTTTGCAGGAAAACACTATGCTTTCTGCCCAACTTGAATTCAAATGTCAGACTTCTTCCATATCAATATCATAACAGTATCTTCCATAACAAGAACTAAGAGTTATTTAGCTCTACTAAGTCTCTATAAAAACAGGTATGGTGTGTTCCTCATCCCTGTTACAGTTCTGAAACATTTTTTTTCAAGTATCTTAGTGATAACAAGTTAATTTTTGTAATTATTATTACTGATATAATCTTTGATACTAGTATTGCAAATTCCAGCTTTATCAAGAACCTGTGTTTTAATTTGCCTGTAAGCGTCATTTTACAGGAGATAAGAACCTGTGTTTTAATTTGCCTGTAAGCGTCATTTTACAGGAGACAAGATAGAACTTTGAAGGGGTATGAAATGTGCTACAAGCCTAGAAAATATCAGTATTTCTGGGAGTCTTGGGGGTGTGGCTTGGATGCTGTTTACTAACTTGTATGCAGAGAATATTTCATAGTTGAAAACAACTCTAGGCATAGACTCCCTCTCAACTCGATTCTTTATGCAAATGTTTGACTTTCGATTGATTCTTCTTTGAGTTCTATTTAACCCATTTCTGAAATTACTCACTGCCAGAACGGCCACTGGACAGTCTATACCAACCTCCACAGGAACCGCCGGCGTCTGCACGTGGGTATACTGTGGCAGGTAGGCCCCCTGCACAGCTGACGTGGCAGGCATGTACTGGAAAGAAGAATACAGTCAGCATGGCCAACGACGAGCCATGGGTGATGGTCACTACAGTTTCTCGTCCTCGGTAATTCAGCATCACTAACGTGCTATTTTATTCAAGAAGGTCTCTCCCTCAAAGGACCTCATGAGTTTCCAGCAGCCCCTTGAACCAGTATCTAGAATTGTTTCTTGGGGCTTCTTGGAGCCCCAAGAAGTAAATGACTTATTACATCTTTAGCAGGTCACTGAAAAATGGGAAATGGACCCTTGCTTTCCTGATGCCGACAGCCATCCTTCTCTGAAGGCAGGAGAGGTTTCTCACTGGATGTGTGTGGCCCTGGCTTAGCCTTTACAAGCTGCTTCTGCTGGCTGGGAATGTAAGCCAGGAAAATACTACCCTTTGTTCTTTTAAGCTACCATAGATATGGTCTCAGTTAAAAGCCTTTGGCCATCTGACCATCTAAACACTACACATATCAACCCTGGAAGTGAATCTGGGATTGGTTCAACCCCAATTCCCAACTGAGTCCCTGGATTTGAGGAAATAAGTCAATACTAAGATTGTGATTCAGTGCCCCCAAAATCCATACAAGAAGAAATAAGTGAGTAAAAATTCCCTGCCTTGACTACCATTAATCACCTTCATCTTTTGCTTCATGAGACCAGGTCTGCCAGTGTGAATGAACGATATTAGTCATTAGGGCTAGAAGTGGTCTTGTATGGATACTATATTCTGATAAAGGAGAGATAGACAGATACCCAGAGGACAGACTTTTAGTTCATCAATTAATCAAGAAATATCTGAGTACTTACTATGTGAAAGGCAATGTGGGAGAAGAGAGGGGATCAGACATAATCTCTGACATTACAGAATCTATAATTGATAAGGAAGACACAGGCTGCATTAATTTACCCTCCTCTGTTTGCTGAGACACATGATATTAATTTGCCACCTACTGTTCCGGTGCTGCCTAGTGACAGGTGACTCATCTGCTGGGCCAGAGGGCTGATCATAGATGCGGGCTGTAGTGACATGGTGTGCTCCATTGAGGGAGTTAACACGGCACCCTGGGGAGTCGGAGACAGAGGAAGTGAGACAAACTTAGGGAGGGAGTGCAGATTCTGGAACAACCTTTTGCAAAGGAAATGCCTTAGTTTACTGAGGAACATGAAGCTAAAATAACCTCCCCTCAAACTTGCAAATGGTGTCATGATTTCTTATAAATGGTCTAGATTGTGTTTCCTGAGACTTTTTAAAAGAGCACCCACTTCACAGAAATCCTTCTATTAAATACCTCTCCCTTTACTTTCACTTAACTGTAAAGCAAGCTAGTCCACAGGAGAACTATGGGGTGTGACAGGAAACGCAAACTACTTTTGGCTGGCCAAGGTTACAAAATGCTTAATTTTTTTTTTAAAGTAAATGACAGTTGATGTTTCATGCAGCCACAAAACAATATACTATATTGAATATTATAAATACAGTGTTGTGTTCAAAAATGTTAAAAAAATAGTCATTTGATTCAAGGTTCAGGCTGCTGGTATCAAGATCACATTCTTCATTCACTCAGTGTTTCTCAGAACTTTCAACTGCAATTTGGTGCCAGGGGAGGGAAGCAGATTCAGATATGGTTAATAATCCAATTTTAGAATCTTTGATTTCACTTGAAAAAATTCTGGTCATCAAAACTAAAATTAAATATAGTTAAAAACAGAGAGGAGGGGTGAAAAAAATCACCTGTATAACCCAGCCTGTCTCTAATACACAGCTGTTAGCATGGTCAGGGTAGCACTGTCCAGACTCTGGCCTCTGCATGTTTTTACAGAGTTGCAACCAGGGCACATGAACTATTTCATATCCTGGGTTTTGCTTCTATTTATTTATTTATTTAATTTATTTCTGGTTGCGTTGGGTCTTCGTTGCTGCACACGGGCTTTCTCTACTTGTGGTGAGCGGGGGCTACTCTTCCGTTGTGGTGCGCAGGTTTCTCATTGCAGTGCGCAGGTTTCTCATTGCAGTGGCTTCCCTTGTACAGCATGGGCTCTAGGCACGCGGGCTCAGTAGTTGTGGCTCGCAGGCTCTAGAGCACAGGCTCAGTAGTTGCGGCGCATGGGCTTAGCTGCTCTGCGGCATGTGGGATCTTCCCGGACCAGGGCCTGAACCCGTGCACTGGCAGGTGGATTCTTTTTTGTTTTCCTTTTTAACTTAATTAATTTTATTTTTGGCTGTGTTGGGTCTTTGCTGCTGCACTCGGACTTCCTCTAGTTGCGGCGAGCGGGGGCTACTCTTTGTTGCAGCGCGTGGGCTTCTCACTGTGGTGGCTTCTCTTGCTGCGGAGCACAGGCTCTAGGCACATGGGCTTCAATAGTTGTGGCATACGGGCTCAGCAGTTGTGGCTCACGGGCTTAGTTCCTCGGCGGTATGTGGGATCTTCCTGGACCAGGGCTCGAACCCGTGTCCCCTGCACTGGCAGGCGGATTCTTAACCACTGTGCCACCAGGGAAGCCCCTGGGTTTTGCTTTTTAACTTAACATTCCATTACAAATATTTACCTTACTGCCTTACTGTCATTATCATCTTTTTTTTTTTTTTTTGCGGTACGCGGGCCTCTCACTGTTGTGGCCTCTCCCGTTGCGGAGCACAGGCTCCGGACACGCAGGCTCTGGACGCGCAGGCTCAGTGGCCATGGCCCATGGGCCGAGCTGCTCCACGGCATGTGGGATCTTCCCGGACCGGGGCACGAACCCATGTCCCCTGCATCGGCAGGCGGACTCTCAACCACTGCGCCACCAGGGAAGCCTATCATTTTTAATGATTACTTAATGGTACATTAATTGTGTATGAAGCTCAATTAGTTCTATTTCTGGATTTTTGCATTTTCTCTAATTTATCCAATTGTAATATTCTTATGGATTACAGCATTCCTCTCACTTTTGCTATCACCCGATTACCTGAGGATGCAATTATTCTGATACACCCTACAAATATTAATGTTTGGTTTTTGGTATCACTGTACCTGACTCATCCCTTAAATACACTGTTATTTACTGATAAATTGATACACAATTGAGGGCAAAGACTGGTGTGCAGGTGCGTTAATGCTGGTTGCAGGCAGTCTAAATCTGGGTGGGGAGAAGGAATGAATCCTAAGGTAGGAGCCTTCTGCACACACCACTACTGTCTCAAAGTTGTTCAACTCAGAGATGTGCCTGCCTCTGTCTCTAATAGTTGACCCCTCCCTCCCCCCACAAAGGATATGGATTCATGTCAGAAGTAGTTTGTTATTAATATATTTCCTAAGAAATTTTTTCCTTTAAAATTTTTAATGTGCATCATCAAAAAGTGTGTGGTGGGCTTCCCTGGTGGCGCAGTGGTTGAGGGTCCGCCTGCTGATGCAGGGGACACGGGTTCATGTCCCGGTCCGGGAGGATCCCCCATGCTGTGGAGCGGCTGTGCCCGTGAACCATGGCCGCTGAGCCTGTGCGTCCGGAGCCTGTGCTCCGCAACAGGAGAGGCCACAACAGTGAGAGTCCCGCGTACCGCAAAAAAAAAAAAAAAAGTGTGTGGTATCATGGAAATGACTCAAAAGCCCAGAATATGCAGAAGGAGCTTCCTGCTCCTCTCCCTCATTCATCTGTAGGAGCTACTGTACTAGGAAGCCCCCAAATGAAAAGTGAGCTGATTTCCAGCATTCTCCAATAGGACAGCACAGAGTACCCGGGACGCAGACTGCCACAGGCGTTTGTGTGGCTTTGTGGGTGTACGTGTGCAGATGTGTGTGTGTAGAAACACAGGTGTGTATGTTTATACAGACACACAACACACATACCTATATCATCAGAGAGCTCTTCTCCTGTGTCATCAACTAAACATGTTTTGTCTGCTTCTTCAAAGTCATCTCAGCAACTTCCTGTTCAGAATGTGTCCCTGTTCTGCTGTTTCACATGCCTGGTCTAACACTGCATAGTGTCCTCTTTAGGAAGTTGTCCTGAGAGAAATTCCTATCTCATTTTAAGGCCAAGAACAGTGTGATTTTCCTAAGCAACTGATCCGTTTTATAAGTACGGTGAACTGTATTGCTTATTAAGGTTCCCCTTTTGCACTGGTTACTAGAAAGCTTAGGCCAAATTTGTGGCCGCCTCATGGCAAGCATCTAGATTATTACATTAGGCATTCTTAGTCTCTTTTGTGATTTTGTTCTCCACCTTTATTTTTCAACTTTTAAACCTATGTTTTAATTCCACAAACTGGATTTTATGTATCTCTGAAAAATACACTAACTATACTACCTAATAAGGTGAAGTGTAACTCACTTAATTAAAAAAAATGTAATATATACATACGTACAACACATGCTCCTGTCACTAAAGAAATCACCTTTGTTATTCACCAAAGTCGGTGTTACTACTTTAGTTTTTTTTTATAATTTCCATGGAGAGGCTAACGCTAATGAAAAACTCTAGGTCAATTTTGAACACTTTATATTTGCATTAAACAGAATGTAAAAAATGAGAGCTATTTCATCCTAAGTATGGTTAAAAATTTAGCAATTTTAAAACTTTAAAATTTAAAAATTCAATCTCCTACGTTTAAATTCTCATGGATTGCGAACTTGACTTAAGGTCAACCACCGATTTATTTTAAGACAAGGTGAGTGAAAGTTTTATAATGAACTCATTCTCATATTTGATATTTAAAATCTCCCAAATCCTACACCATCTTTGGGCAAATGGTTTAAACCCAGAGAATGGTTTTTAACATATACATAGCTTACTTATAAACTACAAAGCCATTAAGATGAAAAACTTACGGGGTGCTGTAGGATATACGGTTGCGGTTGCATCCAAGAAGGGCTTTGCACCTGGAAAAGGAAGGATTTTGGAAGAAACATTGATTTCCATTAGAGTGCTACCTATTTCTCTAGAGCTCTTTTAATCATGTTAAGATCTACAGAAGGAAAATAAGGAAACAATACTATCAATGATTAAAAAGATTAAGATTAAGGCAGTTAGAGTTCTTGACAAACTGGTCACTCTGAATAGGATGAAATGATTATTTAAAACCAAGTTCCATTTGCCCACTCAAAAAGTATTTACTGGGTATCAAGCACCAAAGAGAAAGAGGAAGACATAGGTCCCACCCTCAAGAAATTTACTGTCTAAGCAAGGGAGATAAACAAGTAAACAACTCAAAGAAATAGTGAAAAGTATTACAATCAAGATATGAACGGTAGGTGCTTTAGGAATACAGAGGAATGAGAATTAATTCCAGCACATCTTATTAGAAACTAATCCTTAAAGTATGTGCTTATTTAAAGAGAATAATCAAATTCAACCCCCTTTTTATACCCAGGACATTAAATTTCAGAAATCTTGTCTGGCAGTCAACAATTTCTAGTTAGTGTGAAACATAAAAATCTGAAATCCAGATTTAGGAAATTAAACTTCAGTAACTAGATCCTGACAACTACAGTCAAAAGGGCATCTATACAGTAGACCCTCTGGATCAAGAAGTCTAAGACGTGAGAGTCAGGTTCTGTGGCAGGAAAGAAAGCATGTGTAGTCTCTGCCACCCCAGAGAAAGACTATCAGCCCGTTTCTTGATGCCCAGAGCTTTCCTGAGACTATGTGATTTCAAAATAAGTTTGCCTCTAATTCTTGAGAACAAACCCGTCCTGTATCTCATCTGCTACTGTTAACTTCAGAGGTTCTACAGAGAGGATATGGGGAAGAGTCATGGGGGAAGAATGTATTATGATTTACCTTGATAGCAGAGCCCCGATACTTGTTTTCTCTGGTTTCCTTTGCCACCTAAGGCAGACCAAAGTTAAGTGCTTCTGCCTTGTTAACATTTCAGTTATCTGGACTGCAGCCTTTCCCCAACGGGATATTGGTCGTTTCTTGCAGATGCCAATTTCTCAAATCCAATTGTATGAGCATATAGTGGTTTAGCAGAGAAAGGCTTGCTCCAACAGGAGTGCAAGGCCTTCACTGAATAAATCACGGGGAGGTGAGCAGCTCCCGTTATAGACCCCTATTTGGGCCAGATGCACCCATTTTGGGTATAATTCCAGTGGTCCTAATAATCTAATAGCTTATATCATCATGGGGTTAGGAAGCCATGACATCTAATACAATTTTCTTTCTTAAGCAACAAATATGCTGCTGTCAACTTCTATTCCTCAATTTTCCCTAACTATAAAATGGGAATAATAATTATGTTCTGTGAATTCTTTATCATTGGTTCTTTGTCCTCTTTTGGATCATGAATCCTTTTGAAAACCTGATGAAGGAAATAGACCTTTTCCCCCCAACTGACTGCACACATACAAGCAACGTTCTGCAAACAATTTAAGAGAATCACAGACCACTTAAAGCCCATTTGCTGACCCCGTTGGGTTCCTGAACTTATAGGGTTAAGAATCAGTCTAAAAGGTAATGGCACTGAGTGCCAGGCAATTGGAATGAATTTCCACATGTATTTTAGGGAAACACAGATTGCCTAGGAGAAGAAATCAGGCCTTTGTAATGAAAAGTTGTTTCCAGTTAAGTCTATCAAATCTATTAACAACCCTGGTCTCCTAATTTTTTTCTATTCTATGAAATAATTCTGTGGCCAAAATGCTCACTGCTTTTATACTAAAGAGAGAAAAAAAGGTGGTGAGGAGAAGCGTTCCTAGCTGTAAATATCTAGAGCTGCATACATTCAGATTAATATGCACAATCTTTCATTTGTCTGAGGATAAGCTTACTTGTCTCTATTTTTAGTGGTATACATAAAGAGGTTTCCAAGTTCAGATAGTTAAGAAAGAAGACTACTTTTCAACATCAGATATAGGAATTGTTAATTAGGGAAAATGCACTAGAGCAGATCTCATTGAATCTCATACAGGAAAGGAAAACAGAGAAATCTTAAGTTCAAAATCATTAAAAAGGCATTAAATGAGTGAGTGCTATGCCTAGCAAACTGAAGCACCAGCGTTAAGTAACTTAACAACCCAGAGAGATAAAAGGAAATGAGTGACGACTCAAAGAAAGGAAGTGAAAACCTAGAAGCTGAGGGAGGCTGTGAATGCTACTTTACAACTTCAGTTTTAGTGCATTTAATCTCTTCTCTTTATTATCCAGAGCTACTTTTATGCTTTTCGACAGAACCACCTTTATGATATTGCTTACATTGACCAATCCATTATTTTAAAAAAGCAGAATGGATATACTCTTACCAGCCAGTTAATCTTGGATGTAAAGGATGATAATAATAATCATAGCTAACATTTACTGAGTGCTAACGATATGCCAGGTACTGTGGTGAGCTCTCTACATAGATAATCTCATTTCGTTCTTATCATAAGCCTATGAGACAGAAACTATTATTATCCCCATTTTAAAGATGAGGAAACTGAGGCTTACAGAAGTGAAATAACACAGTTATTATTGTTGTCCCCTACCCCCAGAAACCAGGGCTCCAATAACTAACTCAATTATTTTAAAAACAAGAATACACAGAAGTTTAGTTTAGTCACACAGGATCTCAACAGTCAACAAAAGTGTATTCCCATGTCTGTAACTGACTCCGTTAGAGTGCCCCTGTCTGGGCCAAGGCGGCAACCCTGTGAGAGGCACTCTGATACGGGAGGACAAGTACATGTGCACCACCATGGGGTTCATGGAGAACAGGAGCTACCCCTGCAATAAAACCAAATCAACACGACAATAAGGTGCTTAATGAGATCTTGGTTCTAAGTTGGGAGTTTAGGGTAAAGCCTCTTCACAAAATAACATAAACAGGGAGTCACCTCTCTCTTTTGGCCTCAAATCTCACTCCATTGCTCATTTCATGTTACCTAACAGAGACACGTCTTTATTTATTAACATGTTTACTTGCTCTTTTGTTGGTTCCTGCTGACAAATTAACGAAGGCAAGGGTGCACACCTAGTCTGTATTTTACCTAACAGCAATTCTCTTTCTGTTTCAATTTCTGGGACACATGGTGTCCAGCAGCAGGGCCTGTTGTGGAGGAAGTATTTGGGTTCACCCAATTCTAAAATGCTATCGTTTCAAGGAGTGACAACTGACAACCATTTCCCCTCGTTGCACATTCTCCTAAACATAAAAGTAAATCACTCTGTCAAGTAAAAAGCAGCTGATTCTAAATTGGGTATCCAAGCTGCATAACATTTGACTTAAAATTTCATTATAAATGTTCAAAATTTTAAGACACATAAAAATGTAGCAGTGATTCAAGGTCGGCAAGTTGTCGTACTCTTGATGAATCCTAAAGGTACAAACCTGGTAGGCAGATACAGGAGATGCAATATAGGGTGTAATAGAAGTTTGAGTGATCATTCGGTTGGTAGCAATACTGTATGGTGAAGGATAAAATCTAGAACAAACACAAAAGGCTTTATTAAGTAATCCTTTAAATAGAATCATTCACGGAACAAACATCTGATATTTTCCACTTTCACATTTTCCCTCTAGCCATTATGTATTTATCTTAATGACATACCCGTTCTGTATAGCAGCCGTGGTTGGGTCATAAGTAAGTGTCATTCCAGCCTATGGGAAAGAAAAAGAAACATTCATCTGCAAAGGCACAAATTAAAAATTCCATTTCTCAGAGTCATGGCAACATAAAACAGTGATAGTTTAGTAGTATTTGATAAAATTGAGAGCTTCCGTTAGACAGATGTAATTATAAACTCAACACGAGAATTAAGCTGTAGATCGGCACTGTCCCATATGGTAGCTGTTATATTTAAAATTAAATGAAAAGTTGAGTCCCTCTGCCATACAAGCTACATTCCAAGTGCTCAAATAAATAGCCTTAAGTGGCAAGTGATCATCACTGGACAGTATAGGTTCTAGAACATTTCTACTGGACAGCACTTCCCCATTCTTGAACCAGTATGTTACTTAAAAAACCAAAAAGAACAATCCATTTACGATAAATATGGGGGAATGATGGGCCAACATTTTTATTAAGAAATTGAGCTTTTTTTCCTAAAGACCATTATTATTAGGCAAAAAATCCTCAATGACAAATATACTGTTTATTTTAATAATATTTCAAGTAATTTCTGAATAATTTAAAACGTAAACCTAAGAAACCATGACATTAGAGGAAAAAAACACTCGTGCATTTCTTACAGCAATTTAAAATGCTCTTTTACTTTTTAAGTAGCTAACTGGTAAACACAGCTGCTTCCACCATCTATGTGTCCATTGGGAGAATCACCACTCTTAGCACGGTATCCACCGGGAAGAGTTTTATGTGACATTATAAAGTTTTAATCCTGGCCCCTATTCTAGAAGCGTGGCAGCCAAGTCAAGATGCTGCTTGTGTAACCATCCACGTAGCTTTCATGATCATACACCCCCACGGAAGTTTCAAGAGAGGACTTACAAGTCTCACCTCTCCTTCTCTATGCCACGGTCGTCCATTAGGGATGTATTTGTTTGGGTTCTGTCTCTTCTTCTGTCCTCCATCCGCAAACTTACACAATAAAGGTTCTGTAGGAGCTGAGTAAACAGGGAAAAATAACAGGAAACCAAAATGTTACATGTGTACGAGTGACAAAACGTAACTGAATTTCTTTTGTTTTTTTTTTAAATATACGTGTGTGTGTGTGTGTGTTTATTTTTGGCTGCGCTGGGTCTTCATTGCTGTGTGCAGGCTTTCTCTAGTTGTGGCGAGTGCCGCGGTGCACAGGCTTCTCATTGCGGTGGCTTCTCTCGTTGCAGAGCACAGGCTCTGGGGCACGCGGGCTCAGTAGCTGTGGCTTGCGGGCTCTAGACCGCAGGCTCAGTAGTTGTGGCACACGGGCTTAGTTGCTCCGCGGCATGTGGGATCTTCCCGGACCAGGGCTCGAACCTATGTCCCCTGCATTGGCAGGCGGATTCTTAACCACTGCGCCACCAGGAAGTCCCTGAATTTCTTTTTTAATAGGAGCAGTGTTGGTGCTCTAAGGGAATGGATAGAATACTTCAAGGCAAAAGTTTACTCAGACCCTTAGGAGATGATCCACTGGTGAAAAATACTGTACAGAAAATATATTAGTTATGGTGTTCAAACCAGAACGTAATGAAACATTTCAAGAGCTATTTTGAGGAAGCAAAGGCATTTTTGGATTCACTTCTGTACTTCTTTAGGTGCAGATACTCTTCTTTTCACTCTGGGCCCTCTCTAATTCCATTTCAGTAAATCTTCAAATGTGAACAGGATTGTGTCACCCACCCCTCCGCCACTTAAAAATGCTCCCATAGCTTTCCATTACGATTCCTCAGAGCAGTCTTCACTTCCTCCAGTAGAAAACAAGCCCCCCTTTATACTGCTCACACTGTATTTTTATTCAGAGCATTTATCACACTTTGTGAGTGTGGCTACTTGTTTGGTGTCTGTTTCCCCTCTAGAGTGGAAGCTCCGTGGGAGCAGTGGCTTCTGTTCATCCCTGTTATTCCCAGTGCCCAAGTAAGTGTCTGGCGTGTTGCAGGCGCTCTCTACATCTTGGCTGAATCAATGAATGAATACAAATAGGTCTTATTTGTTTATTTTGGGGATACAACATGGAAGACAGCTGTTGTGAGAAAGCTGAAAACACCTGCCCACCCTATCTAAAGCTTTTTCTGGGCCTTTAATCATCCCACTTGGTGTTGCTTTACTATGCATCTGCCTCAAAAAAATGATCCCAAGAAACTAACAAAGAAAACCAAAAGATGTGTAAGGTGCACAGACTCCCTTACCAGGGATACATATTCATTAGTTAAAATAAGAAAAGAAAAGAAAAGAAAAGGCGATGACATAGTAGGCCACCCATGACTTTTGCTTTTTTTAAAAAAATTTTTCTTGAATGAAAATAGCAGTGTATTCCTCAAAGCTGTGCTTGTTTCTGTATGTTTCTAGTTAATGTAATAAAGACAATCACACCTTCCTGTCTGACTCTCACATTCTGTCCTTTGTCTACTGTGGAACCATGATTACTACTTTCAAGTTCTGTTTCAAAGTTCAATAACCATGAAAAGAAAAATATTACTTGTGGAAAATTTATTCCTTTCTCCTTTGCCTCTTATTATCCTAATTCACCTCTTATTTTATATCACTATTACCCGCCCGCTAATGACAGGGTGGGAGCAACAGTGCCTCTCAATACTCCTCTGACGAAACACGAAATGCACCCAAAACCCAACTACAATTCCTCCTCGAGGCTGTCGGGGCCATGGTTTGGCACTCCTTTTTCCTCTCCCTGGTGTAAACCGCTCCAGAGGGACGGGCTGGCACGTGAGTTCTCTGAATGGCAGCTGTAGTACTACGGGTGCCAGGAGGTGAAAGCAAAACTGTCATGTGTCTGGTGAGATGCCCCGGGCTTCCCTTCTGACTCCTACACCTCCCCCACCCACCGATTTCCAGAACAAGGAACTTCCATTCTTCCATTTAAGGCAAACCGGGTGTGATGGAAGATGGACAGGGGCCAAATCCTACATTCCTAAACTACATTCTCTGTCTTTTCAAAAAAAAGATACTGACTTTTGGAAATTTCCACCTTCACTAACAATCACAGAAGGTAAAGTAAATGGATGCAGTGAAACAAGAGAGCCTTCTAACCCCTGAAGATGCTTTTAACTCTACAAGTGGGCCGTTCAGGGCCAGATGGAAATGAAGGCCGAGAGAAGACAGCATTCAAGTGGAAGGAAGGAGAATGCCTGTCTGCCGTGGCCGGGGATGCCTCATCCTTGACTTCTAAGGACAAACTGAGAACTTGGAAACAAGATCTCACTCTCCACCGACCTAGAAAGGTCCTTATGGCATCAAATGTTTTCTCCAATGATGTCTGAGGTTTTAGGAATCTGCCTCCCCATAACCTTGTGGAACAAGAGAGAGAGATTAAACTCTGTGGTGCTGACACTTTGTGGGGCTTCACTTTGGGGAACTGCTTCTATCTAGAGGCATTATAAAGATGAGCTCCTAGACTGAAATTCAAATAAAAAAAAAGTTTACTTGGCACAGCAAGTGATGCAAATGCACCATTTTCCTCTATTAGCAGAGAAAGGAGGCGACCAGGTCGGACTCATTCTGGAAGTTCACTGGGGCTGCCCAGGCAGGCGTGAATGGAAGCAGCTGGGTAGCCATCCCTGGCGAGTGCCAGGGCTGCACATTTGCTGAGAGGCCAAACAGGCCTTCCCTATCCGTGGGAAGGTGCTTCCAACACATTTTCATTCATCTACACTAAGCTCCGTCAAAGAAAAAGCAATTTCAGGCAACAATCAAGCCTGCTAAAAACGGTGTAATGAGGAGGTAAACATAAAGTGAGCGATGACATGTTTGCAAATATATCATTTAAAATGAAACAAATGGAACAGAATGTAGTTGAATCTTTCAAAAATGAATTACATTTGCTACATGATTTTGTGCTGTCATTAAGATATTTTCCTTCCTCTAAAACCAAAAAGGTTAAGTAGTTACAACAGTTTGTCTACTAGCAGGTGTCCTGTATCTTAGGAAAATTAATTTCTTATTTTAAAGAATTATAACCAGTAGAAATGACACAGTTTTTAGATGGCTGTTGGTTCCTTGCTTCTGGGGAACAGGAATACCCCACTATTCTGTGTGTGTGACGCAATATAAAATTCTAACAGCTTCTTCCCTCTATTACAATTTTCTCTGGTCTGTTTAGCAGTTGAAAGTTTTACTGAGTGCCTACTATGTGCCAGATATAGTCTGAAGAGCTAGGGATACAGGGGTGAATAAAACAGGGTCTTACTTCATAGTTCTTGCAGTCTAATGGGGACGAGAGCATCCCCAATCTTATAAGGCCATTTAGCCATTTATGGGACAGAGCACTGTTTACTGAAATGTTTGTTTTTAATAAGAATGCCAGCAGAAGTGAAACACTTCTGATACAGGAACAGCTATATTTCTTTTACACTGCCGCTCCTTGAACTTGGATGACATGAGACACAGCTTAATCCTAAGCATTCTTGATAACCTATTGATTACAAAGATGGTATCACGTGTGCGATGAAAGCAACTATGTGAAGATTTCTTTAAGACATTTACGTTACCATTAGACTGAGAAAGAGTCAGAGGACTTCAGTTAGATTTTTGAATCGAAAACCAAACTTACATACCCAGATCTGTGTCATGGCCCACTTATTTTTAAGTGAGCGCAAGATTGTTACAAAATGAGAGTTCCTTATTCGACTGGCATATGCTGCGGCTTACTCGACCAGGGAATAGTCTCTAGTTTGCATTTGGAGCCTAATATCCAGGGTTCCAGGTTAAAGACTGGGAGATGCTATGTGATGTCAGCTTTTCCTACAGAACAGATCCCTCAGGTGGCCTCCTTGATTGTTCTTTGTAGAAGGGAGGTATTGAGGAGGCCTGGCACGCAGAGAAGGACGTGCCCTGAATACTAGTAATATGAGTGTGATCAACAGGTAAGTTTGGGTATATTAACCTTAAAAAAAAAAATTAGTTTCTAACCATCAACCTATATCCTCTATATGGTAGTTTTCTAGATTAGTAACTCTTCACCTTATTGAGCAAAACAATAATTGCAAAGAGTTCTAACAAAAACATTTATGATATAATGTTTCATAAAATTACCCCTTACTGATTGATTCTGCCAAATATGCAAAGTATTCTAGGCTGAATTTCCCTTAATGAATCAGGATCTTTGGGGTTTGTAAAGGGTGTGCCTCAGATGCCTTGTGAAATCTCTCAGGTCAGATTCTCGTCCTTACTCGCCAAGACAGAGAAGTTATTTTCTTGTTCATCAGAACCAACAAGAACATGTACCTCCAGAAGCTTAACTACTGTGGTAGAGCCTTCAGTAGGCAGTGCCACGTGCAAGCACTGATCTGATATTTTGAGGGGGCATCTCTTAAGAGCCACCTAAGGTAACTGCATTACTGGATTCTCCAATGTGCCCTCGACAGGGACGATCTTTTACCAGTGCCTGATTGGTGGCACTAACAGTCCCTCCTAAGGGACTGTGAGCCATAGGGGTGATGCCCACAATGCCTCACTGCACATCCCTACCAAGGCGTGTCCCTACCCATCTTCTGAAGCTCAAACTCTACAGTAATTTGCGCTCAACTGTCTTCCCCAGACACCCCCGTGAAGCATCACTTCTAGAATGCCTGCTTTGACTAAGCACTGTAGTTCATGACTAGACCTCCCAGACATCCTCCCCACTTATCTAATCCAACCACTCAGAGGGCTATGAGTTCTTTGTATTTGTAACGAAGTGGAACTTTTCCTCACCAAGTTCTAACAGCTGGAGAAACTGCTACTCCCCAACTCCCATTTTTCTAGCTATGCAGTATTTTATCCCAGTCAACCGTCTCTAACACATAAACTGCCCTTGAGAGAAGCTTTTCTATCAGTTGTAGAAAAGTGGTCCACTCAGCAACCGTAATTAGCTTCCTTTCTGAAACTGTTGGCTACTTTCAAGACCCCTCAACTAAGGACATGCAAGAAACTATCCAGGGCTCTTTTAAAAATTTCAACCTAAGGATCTAAT